CAAAGCAATTGCTCCCAAACATTCGTGAAGACAATTTGCTCGCAGCCTGCCTACAGAGAGGATTGCCACTATAACAGACAACCACTAGAGGCTCAGTGGGGTGTATGTAGATCACCTGTGTCTAAATAGTTTCACATGCTTGTAATTGGTCATTGGTAATTGATATGGTAATTGTGTTTGAATGCCCACATGGACTTGTTGTTATAAAAAAAGTGAATCACAGGGAGGATCAAATATAGAAGAAGGGAACTAATAAAATGAGCTGTATTTCACTCTGAACAGCAATTAAATGTGTATTTCACAAAAGCACTTTAAAAAAAAAGTCTTTGGCTCATTGATACATTAGCCTCCAAAAGTGAGCCTGTTTTTTTGCATTGCTATCAAGCAATTTGTATTTATGACCAAAAGATGAACATGAATGATAAGTATGCATACATTTGATTATATTGCAACAAACCATACTTTGCGTTTAGCCCAGTGATTTCAAGCAATCATAAGTATTAGGACATATTTCTTTTACGTAATCTAGTAGTTTAGCTTCAATAGTTGAATGAAGTCTGCATTCTGACTATATAGTCATTTGATTTGTTTTCCCAAGCCTTTTCTGAAATTAAGTAGTGGGCATATAGATCTCTCTTGTGGTCTTTTTTAAACCATGACTCAATTTAGAGTATATCTATACATGTACGGGGTACATTACACTGATTTCATCACTGTAACTCTGAAGTCTGTTTGTGATGTCCATCCATCCTTTTTCTAACCATTTTATCCAGTACAGGATCACAGGGGATCCCAGGAAACAAGAAGAGCAAGATGGGATACAAACAGAGACACGAACGCAGACACCCACTATCATTAGGGCTCATTTTCCCCAGAGTACCATGTGAAAAGATGGACCTGATAGGGCCAGGCAGGCACTGGGGGCTTATGTTGTCCAACCAAACATTCTGTATTTTCAATGAAAAATACAAAACAAACAAGACTGCCATCTAAGGCGAAGGATAATCATAAACAATAACTCAAACGTCTCAAAATATACTGTGACCAAAAGAAAAGTGTGAACAACAGACAGGTTGGATATTTTTACTGTCAGCTCAGGAGCCCAGAGTAACCCTGAGCTGAGACAAGCTCCTCAGGCTCCTGTGGCTGAGGGCTGACGCTTTGCATTGTGAGCAAATGCCTGTGTCTGCATTCTCCTGGTAGTCAGGCAGCTCAAGTGAGCAGCATTCCAGTCATCCTAACTAATTACAGCAGAGCAGTAATCTACCCGGCCACATACCTCTACAGTTTAGGGGGGGGGAAGGATGAAAGCTTTTATAGAAGACATGTTCTCTTTTTGTCCAAAGGGGAAAGAGCACCACCTACTGTTCCAGCAATGCCACCACAAGTAGCAACCTGATTTCTTTAGTTCTTGAGTCTCCCTTCAGGTACAAATCAGGGGCAAGCTTTGCTTGCTTTCCAAATCAGACAAGAACAGAATTCATCATGGGATAGTGGCTGTCATAATTTAAAAAAAAAAAACAGAAAAAACAATATCGTCTTCTACACTAAAAGGGAAACCAGTGTATGTCAATATAGTGCTTGGATACTTGGTATGTTAAGGTGATGTCAAATGGTGAGGTCTAATTAAGATAGTGAACTGGATACTGTGGGGAGATAACCAAATAGTGGATTTTTACCATTTGTATTAAGAAAGCCTCATGTGAGAGGAGCTCAGAACACTGCCACCACAGCAATCCGTGATACAGCTGTAATAAACCACTGTCTTTAATCTGAAAGAGGAAACAGCTAATCAAAATCCAGAAATGAGTGTAAGAAGCCTACTGCAGCAGCAAGCTGAGGTTCAGCAATGAAATCAAGACCATAGCACACGTAAAGTGCATTTAAAAAAGAGCATCTTTCAGACAAAGAAAAAACAAATGAAAATGTCTTGGAAAGTCACTTACATCGTATTAGAAGCAACCGACTTGCATCTATGGAGCATCAAACAAGTGTGATGGACCAGTTGGCCTTGTCTTATTTTGTGACCTGTAAGATCTTTATTTAAACTGAGAACGCATCATTTCCTGCTGCTGTCTATATAACAATTCAAATGAACATCAAAAAGTGTGAATGGGGGAAAATAGAAATAAACATATACTACTTCACACAAACAGCAGCGTTACCACTTCCTAGCTCAATTTTGTCAGAATTAAATAGCTTAGCAAGACTGGGCCTGGCCAGTACTGCAATGGGAACCATCTAAATCAGCAGTTCTTAACCTGTGAGGTGGGACTCAGCAGTACATCACGAGCTACTTGTAGGTCACCATTGTTTGTATGTGTTGAAGAACTGGAAATAGGAATTAATGCACTAATTGGAACAATCTGATTTGAAGTTGTAAGAGGAAGGAAACTTGAATATCTCTCTAATTTGACTGTATTTAGCACAGAAGATACTGCATATGTCTGTACTGCTTTCAACTACAATGTATTTGTGTGTAACAGGTTTTTTATCATTTTTTCCTCAGCTTTGCAGAGGGAAACAGCCACTATCCTACCATTAACAATTTCCTTGAGTAGTTTTTAGCTAGTTATTATAACATTATTAAGACAAAGTTAGTGCGGCAATTTTTTACCTACACTAGAAATTCATCAGGTTGAAAACCACTTGGCTATGGTGTTGATACACCAGTACGTAGCGCTCTTCCCTGCAGACAAGAATTTCCAAGCCAACACTGTGATGTAGGAAGTGCTATCTTTTAGATGAGAGATTGAATGGAGGTCCAGATTACTTGGTCATTAAAGAACCCAGTGCACTTTTTTGTGTAAGATTGTGTAAGAACGGGCATGTTAACCCCAGTGTCCAACAATATGCTCTACTTTGACTTCAATCTAAAGTTGCTCCCTAAAGTTGTTATTCAGTTGGTGGGGCAATATCTCTCTTCTCAGCCTGATGTCCTGTGTAATGGGGCTGCTTATGAACTAGGGCTACCACATGTCAAAAAGTGCTCCAATAATATTTTTCCTCCATATGTGAAGCATTGTGAGGTGAAAATATATCATTGAAATGTATTAGTAGTGTTAGCAATGTTAACAGGTTTTCAAGGAGCACAGCCTCAGCTTTTTCAATCTATATGTGAATAATCACAGCATGTCCTATAGTATGACTGTTTCCAAATTTTCCCACATTAACTGGACAAATGTAAAGGTGTATAAATAGTGTGTCAAAATTGAAAGAAAAAAAAACATAATAAAGCAATACTTATTTCAATAGTGCCTGGGAAGGGTAGCTTGCGTTTATGTGGAGTTTTTTGTATTTCTTTATGGCATGACAAAATGCCAAAGTGGTTTATAAGGATTACAATAAGGAAATATAAATTCAGCACTCACACCAGTTAAAAATGAAGTACATGATTCATGCAGGAAACGTCGAAGTACATAAACCGGCTGCACCCACAACATAAATACAATGCTGCACATGTCCTGTTAAATGAAAGAGCAGAAGTATAAAGCAGTACAGCAGCCAGTAAGCGTAAAACAGGAGTAGGAAGTGCAAGAGTGCTGTCTGAACAGAGTTTTGAGGTCCTGACCAAAGGCAGTGAGAAGTGCACCGTCTTCAGCTGGGCCTAATGCTCTAAAGGTTGCTAGGAGGAGATGGAAAGGATAAACTGTACAACTGCCAAGTGAGGGAAAGATGTGACTCAGCCAACTGAGAAAAGCAAGTCAACACAGTTCCTGACACAGTACAACACAGATACGAAAAGGAACCGAAAATTGTGCGAAATGATGTTGTTTGCGCTTTGCTACCTACCACCTCACTCAAAATGTACAGTTTGTGGTAGAAAACAAGGAATCAAGCTAAGAATAATTGTGTGCTATCCTATTTCTGTAGGAGCTTCAGGAAATATAGATAGCTGGACAGCTGAGTTCTGCTTCTCAGTTAGTAGCACTGAAGTGTCCAGCAACGTTGCAGAGGCATTGCTTTTATTTTGTTGTATAGAGGGTACCTTGGGCTCATGCTATTACATAATACCATTGAGAGTCTCCTGTGCATTCACTGGTGTCTAGGAATTATCATTTTGCTCAATTAGGATTCCAGTTCCTTTTCTCTGGAGGCTTTATCTACTGTGGCACATGTACTGTATCAGGCCTCTTAATTGCATCTTATTGTCTCAAGACAATTGCATAATTCTGCAAGTCTAAATCAAGGCTTTCAAATGAACTAGGAACAGAAAAGGGTAACAGCTGACATCAATACCCGTCCATTTTTGTACTAACTTAAGTTTAAAAATCACCTGTAATCAAATATCGCACTATTAATTATTAACAGAGGTAATAACACAACAATCTTTTTGTTTCTGTGTGAAAACATTGTCTTTTCTTATCTCATCATTTCTAGCTTGATTCCATTGCAGGGGACATTATTTAGTGCTGCTCTCTCACATCCTTGGTATCCTGAATACAAATAGATGGATTGGTGCCATTAACTTGTCTCTGTGTGCTTGTGTGTTTTATTTTTGTGTTCTGCAATGGGCTGAGGTGACTAAGTCTTGGATGTAGTTTTGTTTCTGGTTACTGTGAACCTGTCTGGGGTAAAATAGCTTTCTGATGATGGATGGATAGATGATTGATTATTCTCAATAGAATATTAAAAAACACATCCATGCAGCATTTCAATGTAGTGTTTCTCAAAGGATTTTGTGAATTGGTCAGATGATTTTGTTAAACCAAGTAATAAACAGAATATATTGTAACCACTTTTAGACTTGATTCAGTTTTTAATAATAAAAACCGATTTTCTACAGTGAGAGTCTGTTTTCCATTTTTGCTTGTATATCTTACCTCGTTTTTGAGACAACAAGCCTCTGTCATTTTACTCCCTTGATGACATTCATACTTTCAATCAGCCGTTTTTTAGAGAAACAAAATGAAGTGATTACTTTAGTTTCATTCTTCATAAATAATGATTCATCTTTAAACATGACTTACTTTTGAATTAAATAATTTAAAGTATTGCTAAAAACCAGACATGCAGACCTTTTTGTAACATACGATCACCTACTTGCCCAGTTGTCTGAGTACTTTCTTCCCAGCCCTGAGTAATAAAACAGAATTCATGTAGATTAGTTCAGGGAAAGTGGAATACATAGCAAAGGGGATTACTGCTGCACCTTCTGGGCAAATGTAGAATTGCAACCACTTCATGCAAAGGAACCAAGGAAAATAGTGAAATGCTTTTCATAGTTATTTATTTTTGTTGTGGCAGTCAAAGACTTGAAAACTTGTTTGTTTTCAACTTATTTAAGCAATTTCTGAAGGAAAACTACCTCGATGTTTCTCCTACCTGTTTGGTGTTAGAGAAAGTGAAGCTGATTTGGGTCTCAAAAACCTTTGAAGTCATTCATGAAAAACTGAAATTAAACATACACAGATTGTTATCATGCGTTTTGTGTTTTTTGAAAGAAAATGACTATGCCTTCTTGTAGATACTTCTTTCAGTATCCATTTTCAATTTCATTTTTTTATTTCTTACTCATATTGCTGAACAATAAAGGTCTCAACGTCCATCTTTCTTGGGGTTTCTGTTTCTGATACAGTATATCTGCCGTAGTTAGAGTAATGTATTACATTACCTAGACCCTGAGTCCATAGAATATCTGTACCTAGAAGTAACATTTTAAAGAGAGATAACCAGACCTCTTGTTAACCAATAACAACCCAGATAATATGCGGGGAACATACTGATAGTCTGATTTTTACAGTTGTTTTAGTCCTCTACATCTTACTGTATCTTGTAATTTCCATTCTGTTGAGAAATGCCCACTTCAGATTCATCATTTAAAAATACAGTACATTGGTTTAACATTATAATCAGAGCAATAAAATCTCTACTTCAGTGATAACTCTCATTCTTCCCAGTAAAATATATAAAGTATATAGTGGGATTTCTTCACTTCTAATGACTTACCTTGATCAAAGTGCACATTTTTTATCAGTTGCTCCTGCAAATTAAGTTGTAATGGGGTGTTTATCTTTGCCGACAGGAATTTTTTAACCTATCAAGAACAAAGGATAACAATCAAACCATATCTTTTAAATGGAGTGCCAAAGGTTTATTTTGGTCTTTCCAGTACATTAAATTGAGTGAATACAGTGTTTTACAGAACTGTATCTTTTCTTTATGAATTTTGAAAAGTCAGTCAAAACATTTGATCACTTTAGGTATGCCACACTGAAATTAATATGCCTGTGCAAATTGTAAATTGGGATTCCTGCATAACACTTCACAAGATGTCATTATACAAAAATGTATATTTCATAATTTGATTACTCATATTTTATTTTCTTTACAACACAATGCTACTATTTTCATCCTATATCTACTATTTTCAGAAGTCTTTTTAAACAATTGTTTCATTTTTAGCTTACATCAAAGAAAGCAATCACTCTTCTATTGGGAACAAGTCATTACTACACAAGTAGAGATAAAGATAGACCCTGAATCAGTTGCCTCGGTTCTGAATATGCTTTGTAAAAGAAGACCTGTGTCTGCAAAAGAGTGTTTAATCAGGCAAAAAAGGGTATTTCCACTAGACGAGGAGTAAACTGTATAATAAAGGTCTCACACTAATATAGTGTTAATTATTTTTTAGATATCGAAAATTATAATTAATTTATTAACATAAACTCAATAAATTAATAAATCAACATAACAAATATCAGTATGATGCCAAATCCATTCAGATTCTCTGTTTTTAGTGTTTGGATATTTTTACACGTTGCTTTTTTTTTTAAGTTGTCAGCATCTCTTGTAACATCCTTTTCAAAACAAGCATCTTTAAGAGCATTCATATTAGTGGTTGTGCCTGGCAGCCACAGCTGCCTTCCAATCTCACATATGTTGATTGACTAGAGCTTTTTAGTCATCTTTATTTTTACTTTGGAAATGCATGTGCTTATTGCTATGCTGATATTTTAAACTATGTGCAATGAACAAATGGCCATCAGGTACCATTCCAGTCAAAATTATGTCTTTTAGTACCGGCATGCACTTAAGTTCCTTCACATTTCCTGACTTTGAGGAGAAAAAGACCATCGTGATGATGGAGCTACCAAGTGGACAGTAGTTACCGGTTCATTGAACTTAACATAGTAGACCCTTTTTTTTGGTTCCTTCTTTGTAAACTATTCATTTATTATATAATTTGATGTGACTGTTGGAATTTGGCACCACTGTCTCCATTATGTATGTGACCTTATTTTCTACTATGGATTAAAAACAAAAGTATTTCAATTTATTATAATTCCTTCACGTCCTGACAAATTGGGTCTTTCTAATTTTAATTCTTTTCTGCCCCAGTCCTGTTTTCTAGAATGATAGATTATTTTTTTTTTCCCCAATGTGAGTGTTGTAACCTGCTCATTGTTTGGTGGGTCTTGTACTCTTCCTGTTCCTTGAGCCAACAGTTTTTCTGTTCCTGCTGCACGTCAATCCAGAAATGCTGATTTTCCAGCTGGACAATGCAAGACCACACACTGCCAGGAATACAATGGCATGAGTTCAAGAAGACATGAGATATGGCAGGGACTTGCCGTGGCCACCAAGTGCAACCCTGGGACCAGCTCATCAATGCCATCTGCAGGTGACACTACTGTGACACAGTGAAGATTCGTCAGCTGGCTGCAGCACCATGGGAAGTTCAACTGAATGTCTCACAGCAGTCTGTACAGAGGCTGATCAGGACTATGCATCAATAAGTACTGTCTTAATGGCCAATAATGTCATACTCAATACTATCTTTGTTAAGTTTTGCATTGCGTCTGTGTGACATGTTTTGTTTTCATTGCACAGGTATATGTATATTTAAAATGCTTAATTAAACCCATTCAACCTGAGTGGTGCATTTCTTTTGTGTACCAGCATATATAAATTTCCATCCATCCATCCATTTTGCTTACCCCTTGATCCACCACAGGGTTGTGGGGGAGCTGGACCCTTCACAATTGGCACAAGGCAGAATTCACCCTGGGTGGGATGTCATACCACCACGGGGCGCAAATAGACACACATACACAATCACACAAAATTTCCAGTTTGTCTTTGGACAGTGAAGGAAACCCACATGAACACAGGAAGAACATACAAACTCCACCCAGACATAACCCCAAGTCCAAAACTGAACCCAGGGCACCAGCGCTGTGAGGCAACAAAGCTAACAACTGTGTCACCATGCTGCCCCCATATGTAAACTTATAAGACATAAAATGGATTTGGCTACAATGCTGTTACCCTGCAGAGACCCTGAAAGTAAACCAACAGCTATTATTTTTATTATTTTGACAAGTTTTATTTTTGTGTATATGGGGGGGGCGGGGCAGCCAAGACTGAAGTCGCAAGAGACACATGATTTAAAATAATGCAAGACAGGCTCAATGCCATAGACACAGCTAAAATGAAAGCACAGTAATATTTCAATGACAATAACTTGATAAACGAGCAGCAGAGAGGAGCGACTTAAAATATGGCATCAAGTTGAGATCACAGAACTCACACATTAGACAGGATGAACTATGTGTTATATTGAGCTTTGTCTTGCTGTCCTTCAATCGAATATGACATTTAGTCAGGGTCTAAGAAAGCAAACTTTCTAAGAGAAACATGTCTAGAATTTAATAAAATCTACTTGCAATGTTATTAAATTCTAGAAACATTATTAATAATTAAATCTAGCAAAACTAGGATTATTGTTTTAACTTAATCCTAATGTTTTCTAGAGACTAGTTGTGTAATTTGTTGCATTCAGATTTTTTTACAAACGTAATTCATTATTTAAGGATCAAAAACCTTAAAGCAGGAGCATCAGTCAACGTGAGTCAACAATTGTGAGTGCCCTTAATTTTGCCTGTGAAATGCATGCAGTTTTAGCATGTCTTCCAGGAAGTAGAAAGGATCCCTTGGCAGCGATAAATTCAAAGGGAAACATTAATGATACGTAGGTACGTTTCCAATTATCAGACCATCCAAACCCATCGTGTTTTCTCTTGTTGCAAGTCGAAATTAAGTCGTAATGCAGTTTAGCACAAAGGAATGCAATCGTGGTTCACAAACTGTCAAAACCAGTCGAGCCAGAAATTCTTCGGCAACTGCACAAGTAGGACTCAATTCACAAATAACAGTCCGATAAACAAGTTACAGTCACGGGCAACTCATGCACAACCAAGAAAATACGAGACGTCCTGCCAAGCCGAGGTTGTGAATATAACACCAAACACCGATACGTTTGTGTGACTACAACTGACGAATCACAAGTTGTGCAGTTCTCGACAAACAAGTATTACCTACAAATCATCCGTTGCTATGGGATACGGGTTGCTTTACCACTCCCTCTGTCCTTATCTATGCCTGTTCCTGCAGCTGCTACATTAAGGCTAACATTCAAACTAGTATACATCCTAAAAAAGGAAAACCGGCGAGCCGCCCTAACAGATATTTGGGAAACAACATCAAGAAATATCTAAGAAACGTGTTTGGGTTATTTTTTTCCGCGTTGCAGCGGTCCTGATAACAAGTTCAGCGCATGTATGGTTTTTTTTTCCCTCAAGCGCTGAACTTAGGAGCGAGCAGTGCGCCTGCGCACCCCTGGTTTGGTACCCTGCTTGCGAAAGAATGTCCAACAGGTCATTAATTTCAACACGACTACACAGGAGCAATGCGGCGGCATGGGAGTCGGGGGGTGGGTGGGAGATGCTACTGCGCTTGTGAAGTGAAAACGGTTAGCGTTGTTTTTACTTCTCAAGTCGCCCAGTTTTGAAAAAAGGTTTTTGAAACGTTGAATCTTCGATTTTATTGCGTAGAAGTTTCCGCTTCGTGATGTTGTTCGCGGTGCTACTGTTCGCCTTTTTTTTTTTAAAAAAAAATCGCTTAAGCACGACGATCTACCTCATTTCCCTAGTTCAAAAATGAAAGCGCATTATCGCAGCCCGCAGACATGTACAATACGTTTAGTGTGCATTTGGAAGGCTGAAGTTAACGGGTGCGAGTGGGGGAAAAAGTAGAAATAAGGTACCGTTCGACTAACTGAAACTTTAAAAAGTGCTCTTTTAATATTACGCTGTGCCTCTTGAACCAGTAAAGATGGAGCATTTGGTTACACACCAATTTATCACCGAACAGTGAGACTACCAACAGGTGTTCATCTCATGTGACCCAGAGAGGCGCTAGGGGGAGGGTAGCCAACAACAGCTAAGATGCCATCAGGGCACAACAACGGCGAAAGACAGTTTCTACTGCCGCCGAAACTTTCCCCCGACGAGGGATTTGCAAACAAACTTAGCTTTGCAGCCAAATCTACTTGTCCATTTATTTCTCAAAAGACTGATGCAATTTCCAACGTTCATAGCATGTGGAGGGTGGAATCCGCCGAGGGTGGGACTAGAATCTGCCCCCACACGCATATTCTTGGAAGCCGAGCTCCTCGTTCGCAAGCATTGTGTGTATTTCAACATGCAAGCCAGCCTTCCTGTTACAGTGTACAACTTGCTATTGGATCGCTGCGGATGATCATCATTTGTTACTGTTTAAGGAGCAAAGTCATTCCTGGCAACAAAGCTGGTCTTGGATGATTTAGTTACAGTGATGCATATATATCAGACTTTTGACCCTGTTTTTTTATTTTTGTATCAACATTTTTGTTTCAGAAACGTAATATGCTATTTTACAAAATGTTGTATAAAGCACAAAAAATATAGTTCTTTTTTAATAACTGATTATCATGCCTTTATATGATTTACATTTATATGATTTACATTAAATATGATACATTTACATTAAATATCACAATGCAATAAAATGTATTGTAAATTACATTAAATCATCTGTGTGATATTGCAGTTGCCTTTAAACGCATTCAAGACAATTACATGACATTGCGATATTATTATAGTAGCATATTGATGTTAATATTTTACACGATCTTATATTGTTGGCCACTGTTCTTTAAAAGTAGGTGAATTGTATCATGTGCCTATATAAAATTCAGTATTATTAGAAGATTTCAAGAGACTGATTACTGTCTTTTGTCCACAACAATATTTTCTTATAATATTTGAACCATCATACCTTCTCCACCAAATCTAGATAAAAGTACAGGGATAAAATGTCACAGTTAAAAAATAGCTTTCTAATACGCCTTAGGTTTTTTTTCCGCAATTAAGAGTTATTATTAGTTTCATTAGCTATACCTTGTGAAACTAATTTGGCTTTCCATTAGTTTTCAATTGCTGTTCACTTACTGTACCTACAAATGTTCTGAATTCATTGTGCTGTTGTTTTCTTCTCATCTGTGTTAAAAGCTTTCTAAATATCCAGAGACATCAGAACCATACTTTGTGATCCAGTAATGGGTTTGGTAATGGGGATACATCCTTCTTTAGACAGCAATTGGCTATAAGGCCTGCAAACATCTCTCTTCTTTGGTCTGCTACAAATGTTTTGTTGTATCTAGGCTCATGGTTTGTTGAGAGTTGGGTTCCTTTAGATCCAGGCATCAGGATTAGAGCTCACCCTTCATCAGGTTTTTTAAATTATATGTTTCCTATTCTCAGCAAGTAGTTTGTAGAATGGAGTCAGCAGTAGCCACCTCTGATCTGGGAAAGGTGCTGAGATATTTAGACGTTCATCCTGTATATTCTAAGCATGCCTTCATTGAACAAACAATATGTATATGTGGTCAAAATGAAATAATCAATCACCCATCTCTAGAAACTTTGGGTCTCTCTACAGTGGCGCTCGGCAACCCACAATATAATGGTTTTATCCTGTCTATAGTTTGTCACAAATGTGAATGCTTTGCTGTCTTTTTGATTAAATCATTTGAAGATGGCAAGATCTTTGATCTTTACAGTTACATCTTCACAGATCTTAAATTTACTAGCTCTCAGGCTTGTAACAGCTTGTAAACAAATTCAGTTCCTTGTCTCAGACTACGTACATCTTGAACTCTCTCACTTGGATCACATACGGCCGCTATGTTGGTGGCTCTCAGGCACGAATGATCTAATGACAGCCAGCTGATAAGCCCCAGTTCCCTCATCTCTTCTGTGTGTGACACAGCTGAGGAAGCGTGTGGCACATGATGAGAAAGGATACCAGTATTACTGGCCACAAACAGTTCAGCTTTTAACCTTGTGTTGAGGACTTCTCATTAAAAATAAAACTGCAGTAATCATTGGGGTGTGTCCGTTTGTATTAATATTAAAAGTGTCAAAATGAGAGGGAAGCATATTGGTCCAGGGGTGCTACCTGCATGGACATGGGCAGCTCTCTGTGTGGAGTTTGCATGTTCTCCCTGTATTGCATGGGTTTCCTCCTAGTGCTCCAGTTTCCTCCCACAATCCAAAAACATACTGCTAGATTAATTGGCTTTTTTGGAAAACTAGGTGTGAGTGCGTTTATGTCTGTTTTGGTGTCTGTCTGCCCTGCAATGACTTAGCCTCATTAAATGACTTATCCTTTCTAGGTTGTACTCTGTCTACAGCCCCTTTCTTGCTGGGAAAGGCTCCAGTTCTGAATTTGAAGAAGCAGTTACAAAATGGATGGATCGAGCAAACAGGAGCAAAGGAATACAACATTTCAATACTGGCACCCCCATACAAAAATCCCACAGTGTGTGACATACCCTTCTAAGTTTCCAAAGGACTTCTATTAGTCAGCTAATATAGCCGAACCACGTAATGATAAGTAGACCCACTGAGCAGCTCTCCAACCCCATTACTTCTCATACCCAGCACAGTGGATCAAAGCAATCGAGAACCCCATTAAATAATAGCAAGATAAGCCAGGATCCAGTGATGTCAGGAAAGGGAATCTGTCGATTCCCAATATGCTATAAACTTTTTAATTATGGTCAAGCCAATCAACCAGATATGTTTCTGCTGCTTTAAGGGGCTAAGAATGAAGATATGAGGCATCAAAAGTATTATCTGACAGCAAGGAATATCTTTATGGACAAAGTAAAAGATACCCATTTTCTAAACCCAAAAACATTCACACTCCAAAAGAATGTAGAATGTTGTCATTTTTAGCACTGAACTGTGTTCTAGCCCTTATGTGAGTATGGGTCTCATAAAATACTTTTTTTCAGTGAAGAATCGAGAAAATTCATTTGATTTCAAAGCTACTATGTATTGCAAGTCCATATCTGGACAGATAATGTCCGTTTCTAATAATGCAAAAGCTCGTATTGAGCTGTCACGGTAATGGAACAATATTTGCAAATAATCTGTGCTTGCTGTTAAGGAATTACTTCTATGGGTTTTTATACCTTTGTTTTGCAGGTAGAAAGATTTACCTCCCAAACGCATCTACAGAAAAATGCAGTTTGTGTAAAAACACATATAGTGTGAGATTTTGGACAGGTAACCTCTTTTTTTTGTGATGAAATGAAAGTGAATGTACTGTTGGCTCATATAATAATGGTAGCAAAGGGTTCATAATTATAATGTGGGGAAATACTGCATATTAAATCCCATTTATACATTTATCCAATTCAGAGTCGCAGGGGAGATGGAGCCTATCCTAACAAATAGCAAGCGCAAGACAGGATACACCCTGGATGGGGTGCGAGTCCACATTGGAATGGTTGATTTATATTTAGATACATTTACGAACTCTGTAATTTAAAAATAAATACAATTTTATATTTAGAATTAAAAAAAATGAAAGCATCACTTTTCCAAAGAACGTGTATTGTTCAATTTATATTTTGCACATTGGTATATTGCATTCTGCATTCCAGACAGTAGGCTTTCTCTGCAGTTTGAGACACTTTCTTCACTTTCATCAATGCCTTTTGTGGGTGTCTTAAAGCAGTCTGGGTTATCTTTTTAGGTTAGACAACATATTGTCTAATCAGGAACTAGGGGAAAAAAACACATCAGTCGTTTTCAATATCAAGTCTATCACACGTATCTATTGCTTTCTTGGCCAGTGTTTCAAATTACAGGTAGGTGTCCTCGCATCTATCACTGTGGCTTTGACAGGTGATTTGGATGCATACCATTCATTTATTGCATTTATGTCATTATTAAACAAGGAGAAGGAAGAGTTGAGACAGTTAAACATCATGCAAGGTTGGTGAGACTTACACTTCTCACGCAGTATAAAGCTGCGTTGTAGTTTCCCCACTAGCCCTGTTTTATAATATTGATTTTGTTTACTTCCGTCAAATACGTCTATATTAGAAATGGACAACATTATGCCAAATGTTATATGTGTTTTTTTTTTCAAATGTTATATGTGTTGTTCGAGAAGAAAGGAGAGTTCGTGGCTTTTAAATGTGCGTCAAAAGTTTTATGCCACGTGTACTTTAAATCAGCTCTGAATCTCACACTGGACGTTAGCAAAGTTATTTTTTCTTTAGTAAATACAAATAAAAAAAGAATTACCTGAATACATCTGGCCAGCTGAATGTCATAACAGTGATGCTTGGGCAATTTTAGTGATGCTTTTAAGCCGCTCAAATTCCTTTTAGCATAAAAAGTAGTGATTTGAAATTACCTGCTTTTGTTTATCTAGTCTCATATTACTTCAGCACGTTTCAGGGAGATGGAGGCTGCAACACACCGGTTTAACATCGAAGTAAAGTTCAACGAGAAAAAAAAACGCACACACTTCCTTCTCTTTTTCAGCAACAAAGGAGGTGGGTGGGATGGTACCAGGCAGTTCGATAAACTTTTCTCCCCCCTTCTTTTTGCTCGATAGAGACCCCTCCTGTATGAAGAGATGCTTGTAACTGGCTGTAATGTAGTGGCAGCAGCCTCAGTAACACGTCCCCCTGGAGACTAGCAGGAGCAACACGTGATGTGTCTACTTATCAGGTTTAGGGAGAGGATAGCGCTGCGCTTAGAGACGGAGTGAGGGAGAGAGAGGAGAGCTAAATAAGTGAGACTTTTTCAGTCTCTCAACTCTTTCTTTCCATCTTCCTTCTTCAGGAAGAAATCGGGAGAAAGGGAATTATAAAGTTTGGGGAACTTTGCACATCCTCAGAAACGCCATTTTGATTCCTCTCCGGAACAACTTTGCAGCTTTTTTTTTTCTTAGTCCATCATCACCATTCACCATCATCATCATGTCTCGGCGCAAGCAGCCCAACCCCAACAAAGTCAAACGTAAGTACTCGGATCATTTTTCTAAACTCTGCTTTTCGTTACAGACATTCGGTTCGCTTCTTAAGAAGCGTCAGTGTAACTATCTTGCTACACCGAAGTTGAGAAAAGTTGGAAAAGATGTAGAGGATGTTTAGTTTTCTCAACACTTCTCTGCTTCCTAGTTTCGCCTGGACCTGATGCTCATCCATGATTAAACCGTCTGAGCTCTGGAATTTGACTGGGTCTCCTTCATGCACATTTATTTTTAACTACCTGGACATGTAGCTCATGCAAGCGAAAAACAGCAGCCATCGATCGGGTACGAACTTTTTTCAAAGTTTAGTTTGGAAGGATGCGGTTTGGCGAAAGGTACAAAGTTTATTACTTCTGTCGCGCGGAGCATCCATATCTTTAATGTACTTTGATCGGAACAGAAGGCTTAGGGGCCATGCGTCCTTTTACGTTTTGACCTTGCAGAGAAGCAGCTACTTTTTTAACTGCAAAATCAAGAAAAAAAAATAAACTCACTATGTTCGGCATTTCTTTTATCCCCCAATTACCTTCCGTCATATGACGTTTAGTCAGTCGGACATGTTTTTAAGGATAATTAGGATACAGGCATCGTCAAAAGGAGGAAGTTAAGATTAAAAAAACAAACAACCAATACGAATTGAAGAGTGCTCCTAAAATTGTGATGGGTCGCTTAGCATCACCACCAAGAATACAAACATACGCACATTCATAAGTTGCGTATTTGCGTGCTACTTTTTATTTGGGGGGGCGAGGGGGTAGCATCGCAAATACAGTAATTCAAAGGTCAGTTTTGCGCACTCTGCTTGATATAGTCTACTTCTGATGTGGGACGCGCAGACGTTTCACACAGAGGGGGAATTGATCAGTTTTAGTCTCTTAGGAGACTGCAACCTAATGGTTGCTAAGCAAGTTTTTTTCTTCATATTAGCATTTCGTTATCCCAGTTGATGCTGCTTAGGGTAAGTCTCCGATGTTTGCATAACTTTTTACTTCGTTTTTTTGCGGGGTGTGACGTTTTTACATTTTAAGTGTTTAATTCTTGTTCTTTTAATTTATAGTATTTAGTTAGGATCTTTTAACTATTTAGCTCGGAGGAAAAAAAAAACTTTTGTCATTTTTTGCTAAAGATGAAGAGTGTTTCGTCGGGGTGTGTGAAATAAAACAGCGATTGCCTTCACGTTGCGTTTTTTACGTGCATTTCTTTTGCTGCTTGGAAGGAGACAGAATGAGGACTAAGAGTAAGAGACTATCCGGATGAGCAGTTCACATTCCATTACGAAATTCTACACGGCTCTCGACTCGGCCTGCAGCAGAAACACGACACACACACACTTTCTGCATCTACATATTTTGACGGAATAGCCCTTTACTAAGCTGCATATGTTGTACTTATTTTATTTTATTTTTTGGGGGGGCTAAATGGAAAGAGAAAAGATGTCAGTAAGTTTAGTTTGTTTCAATTTTTATCTTTTTTTTGTTAAACTTTTTTGCTGAACTACCGTGCAGCGTTTCTGGTACTTAGTGTTTTCTTTTTCTATCTCGTAAGGTGCAGAAAACCATTGTGACTGTCTGTTTGACTCACTTAACGATGTTAGTGCGATAGACTGGAAACAGCGGGGATCCGTCATCCCATTAGTGGGCTTGACTGAAGGTTTTCTCATACAGTTACTGTTGAGGCTACTCCCATTTTACCTGGGCGAGACAGTTTTGACTTGTTTGCGACCGTGCTATTGGTTGTATTAAAGGTCGTATTTGAGAGAAAAGATTAATAACATTTAAGGCGTGTTTGTCAGGCTGATATTCTTAATTCAGACGCTCCCCATCATCTGAGGAGGGTGAAGCAGGAAACCAAAGAAACAGCACCTTAGTAAACCAACCCAGCCTACAAGTACAGGTCGTTTCAACTTGTACTTTTGATACAGTTCCATATAAAAATATGCTTTTTAGTTGATGGCCTGTAGGGAGTACCAACTCCTTTTTTGCATTGATGCACATCGTATTGAAGGGTGTGTCTTCAGCAAGTGATGTCTGTGTTCAGTGCTTGGGTTTTGGAGTCTGGTCATTCATTTTTCCACAGTTTTGAAAATGGTTTGGGTGATATATGTCTTACTGGGTACTTTAAGATCTCAGAACAGATACACATCTTGAGATGGTGAAAGACTGGGGAAGCCCTGCTAACCCTAATTTCACACCAAAACCTTGTGTTTTCAATCAGGTTACTTTGTTTATTGCTTTATAACTCTCTAAATTGGTTTTAACTACCGAGTTTTTCTAAAATAATATGGAAAAGTAATAGCCATAATACTGCTCATTTCATGAATGAAATGGCTTTTGTGCCATATTCTGATATGTCGTCACTCATTAAAGAAATAGGCTGTAGGCCCACACCATGGTTATACTTTTGTAGAATTAATGAAAGCTGTCTAGAATTTAGAAGTATTTTTATTCTTCTCCAACACATTTATCAGTTGTAATAAAAGCTTTTGCTAATGTACACTCATTGAATGGTAACATATCTTCTGGAATTGTTGAAACTTCTATCCTAGGGAGATGAAGTATTGTAGTTTTCAATATGTATGTCTGCATTTGACATCTGCCATGTACTAGAAATTATTTAAGTATTTGCACACTGCATCTTAGTAGCATTTACTAGAAATCTTAACTACCAACTTTTAGGATGAATAGATGTTGAGTAAACTTAGAAAATATACAGTATCACCATCGTCATTAAGTAAGTGGCTTAACAAACACTGTTGCACTCAATTAACTTCAGATAATATTTTTGGAGAAGGAGTATATTGATACTAGCATCTGTGATTGTATATACTGCATACTGGACTTCTAGAGCTTAAATGTTGGGCAAAACATTCATCCATTTCAATAGGCCCTGACTTTGAGATCAAGCAGACTTGAGCTTTCAACTGTGTCCTTCATGAAACAGCAAGGGTTGAGAAGTTAAATGTGCTGAATTTGACAACAAACCTTGAAAAATGCCGTCATAAGCTTAGTTCATATAACCCACACTGTCAGACACGACTGCAGTGGCATTACCAAAATCCACCTCAAACGCCTTTAAACGTCTTTCTTGTAATCTGCTCGGAGAATTGACAACCCCCCAACTAAGCCAACAGTATCAGGCTCCAGTATTGTAATTAGGCTTTATCTTTCAATACATCATCTGTGAAATAGCCCGTACTGTTGCTCAGTTTTAGAAATTGTTAAATTAGACAGCAGATGATATCGACTAAGCATTTTTTTTAATTCAGCAGAATGTTTTGTTTAGCATATTGATGATGTTATGATTTATAGGCGAGTTGTTAGAATTAACCCATGAATTTAACGGGACCCCCTCCATTGCCCTGTAATTGTTTCTGTGCTTAAACCGGAAATAAAACTGAACCTTTGAGTATAATACAGTTATTCCTATATAGTTACTAGGTGACTATTAAGATAAGTAACTGATCACCCTACCTGGGCACGTCGATCATCTTGGCACCCTGTTATAGTAATTAGATTTTTAAATTATTATTGCAGTATAATAACTAGCAGTGCAAACAATTCCTTATCACACAATTAATTTACTTCACTACAGAAAATATTTTGAGAGGCATTACAAATACAACAAAACTTCCAATACTCAATCGTTACATTTTTAATTCCTCTCAGTGTATATTATTTTATTTCCCAGTGTTATGGGTAATAATCCTAAATGCTGTGTTTCACGTTTATTGTTACAGTAACTCCGTTTCATGAGTAATGAAAATGATCAATCTTAAATTAATAATATACTAGCGCGGTATGGCATCTCATATATATATATAGGGACTCTCATGTAGGATAAGTTCTTAAATAGTGGGATGGGGGGGGGGGTTCTCCTATAAAGGGATACTTATGCAATATGGGAGGGGTGAATTCTGATGTAATAATTGAATGTTTCTGAATGTGAAGAGCTAAGCCGCTGTAGATACTAAGATAATTAGCCAGATGGAAGTGTGAGGGAGGACGATAAACACAGAGGTACTGCCGGCACAAATTGCCCTTTTGAATGATTCAGGGAGTACAGTCATGTCTTTTTTTTTTTTTTGGTACCATTTCCTATTTAGACTGGATATTGTGCCAGTCACTTTAAGTTTAAACATATAGGCTCTGTACCTTTAAGTTGGAATTATTGAAATTTCTTTTCTTTCTGTGTTGTTGGTGCTTTAATTCCCACAAGAACGACCTGCAAGTAGGCCTCCATTGTATCTCTCCTGAACACCTGGCACCATACTGCGGCCCCAGGTATTTGGAGGCAAAGGGTTAATTCTGCACTCAGACACCTCAAGTGGAGCCGTTAAAGGTTGGGATGTTTCTGTAGGGGGTGAGCTGAATGGCAGGGGAAGAAAGTGTCCTTTGCAGACGACCTTGCTTTGGCTCTCTGACTCACTCTAGTTTGCTGATCTCAGAGCATCTGATGCATGTTGGACGGTGGCCCTATGTGGGCAAAACAGACAAATCAAGCTTGCGCTGCTGGGCCAGTAGTGACAGATTGACAGTTTTGTTTAATCATTTGTAACAAGCTACACTGAAGTATGGAGACTGCATTTTTTAAAAGGACTTGGGATGAGTCTTTACTCACACTGGCGATTGAAGGTGCTGCATCACAAGATGAAAGAGGTTTAGATAGTGGTGGAGAGCCGAGCAGACATGGCAGTCGAGTAAATCTTCAGGTTAGAGTCGGGGATTTTCTTCGCCGTCTTTGATTTCCACAAAGAAACGTTAAATTGAACCATCACAGTGCAGGTGATGGAATATGGGAGCATGCAAATCTTTAGATTAAAGCTTTCAATCTGAGCACAGCTCTCTGTGTTGCCTTGTAACTGGTGGAGTACATTTTCCTGAAAAGGCTCCTGATACAAAAGAAGTAGGTGCCGGGTGGGGATTGTTTGCTCGTTGTGATTCAGACATGTGAAGCTAGGAGACTTTGAAAAGTCACAGAGACAAGCAGG